AGAAACTGCTGCTGGAAACTGTATAGTTTCAAAGGAAGTAAAGAAACTAGGGTATTTTCATTTTATATATATCTGGAAAATGGGTCCTGGTTGATGGGGAAACTCACATGAACTCCTTAATTCAATCATGGGATAAGTTAATATCCACTATAAACAGTTCTCAAGCCATGTAACTATGGTAGGTCTGGTTTCTCTGCTTCTTACAAAGTTAAGGCAGTATTGATGATCTTCTAATGGTGTCCAGCAAGCAAATACTAGGCTTACTGGACACCTTTCATAGATGTCCAGAAAACTCTGTGCTTTTCATACGGGAAAAATGCTAGACAAACATGTACTGTCACTAATCATAAGTACATTATCCACCTGCAACTATCTGCTGTTACTCTTGCTAATGAGGAACATTGACAGTGGGCTCGGTCCTAACACAACTCTGCCCCCAAAAACTTGTTGCCTGTGTCCTGCAACTGGTGTGTAGGCCTCCTGTGAAGAGTCAGTGTGGCTCTGTGAGCGTAGGGGCCAGTTGGAGGAGCAAGGTGTAAACAAGCAATTAGAGGCATGTCCAGGGCACTTTCATTTGAGATGGACATAGTCCCTTTTAGCCAAAAGAAGGGAGCACTTCCTCTTTTTTCTTTTTCTTTTTTTTTTTTCAAACAGAGATAAGCCTGGGCTTATTCGTTAATCCTGTCTATTATATGCACTCTCCCCCACTTGCTGCCTCTGTATCAGAGGTAGCAGGGGGAGGGGGAAGAGAAGGTGGGAACTGGTGCCTGTTGGGAGCCAGCTTTTAAGATGGTTCCCTTCGAGCACCAGATCCTGTGAAGCTGCCTGCCCCCACATCTGCACTGCTGCCTCTGTCATGGAGCATGGAGGGTGAGGGAGGGGGCAAGCAGGACCTGGTACACATGGGAACCGGGCTTTTAAGCTGGCTGCCTACACATATCTGCTCCCATGGAGCCGCTTGCCCATCGTTTCTTGTGCTATCATTAGAGGTCAAGGAGAACAAATTTTCCCCCCTTGTAACACCCCTTTAGGTACTTAAAAACTGCTATTGTATCCCCTCAGTCTTCCCTCATAGTTCATATTTTCTAGACCTTTAATCATTTTTGTTGCATTTCTCTGGACCTTCTCCAATTTCTCCACCTCTTTCTTGCAACTTGGTGCCCAGAATTGGACACAATACACCAACTGAGGCCTAATCAGTGCAGTATAGAACAGAAGGATGACGTCTCGTGTCTTGCTTGCAGCACTCTCATTAATGCATCCCAGAATCATGTTTGCCTTTTTTGCAAATGTCACACTATTGACTCAGATTTAGATTGTGGTCCATTATGATCCCTAAATCCTTTTCTATAGTACTTCTTCCTAGACAGCCACTTCCTGGTCTGTATGTGAGAAAATGATTGTTCCTCCCTAAGTGGAGTACTTTGCATTTGTCCTTATTAAACTTTATCCTGTTTACCTCAGACCATTTCTCCAGTTTGTCCAGATCATTTTGAATTATGACCCTATCCTCCAAAGCATCCTTATTTCCAATCTTACACCAAAAAGAGTAGTCCTCTTCAGCAGTTGCCAGCAACAGCATAGCTGTACCGTCATAGATATTGCATAGGCTTTAGCTCTGAGCAGGCTTTCATGACACAGGATATGTCTTCAATGGACCGAGAGGTGTAGTTTCCAAGTCAGGTAGACATACCCATGTTGGCTTTGATTGAGTCAGTGTGCTAAAAATAGTGTAGCTGTTTCTGCACAGGCAGTGAGACAGGGTAGCCAACCCAAATGCAGTCCTGTCTGAAATCCAGGGTATGTACTCAAGGTGACCCACTCATTCCTCGGCCCCCACAACTGTGGCAACGTTGCTCTTTTTAGTGTACTGGCTCTGTCAAAGCTAGCATGGGTCTGTTTTTTCCTAACTTGGAAATTCCACATTTTGCTCCATAGTTGAAATTCTCGTAGTGATAGAAATGTCTGCTCTAATAGTTAAGCATGAGTTAAGCAGCACCATTCTTAAAATGTGAACATTAATTGTTGTATACGCATGCCCACAGGGAACACAGCCCATGACCTTAGCTATGTGAAAATCCTCCCCATGAGAACTTTCTCACAACACCTGCCTGTTGCTGAAAGGGAAGGTCTGATTATCTTTTAGGAAGGAAGTAGACTTTCAGTGTTAAATCTACATATGCAGTAGACAGGTGGCAGCTGTCACATGGCTGCACAGAATGGGTAGAGTAGCACAAGGGCTGACTCCCTTCCCCTATCTGCGTTATGGTGGTGCGCAGCTTACCTCTGCTGTGATAAGTTGGCAATGGGTTCCTACTATTTAGGAGCACGGCATGGTCTTGTTTTCTATGCCATTAGGAAGAAAACTGCAGGACTCACTCTCCAGTACTACCCCTGGCAGAGCAGGTGCCTGAATAAAAAATTGGTGGTAATTCTGGAAGTTTGCACTAGTCCCTAATCTGCCCTAAAACAAATCCACGCTATAGACTTTGCATGCATGTCTCTAAAGAATAGTCGTTACTTTATCCAATGCTGGGGGAACCTACCTTGAAGGAAACATGAGCTTATTTATCCTGGCAATAGTCATTTTCCTTGTTAACTAGGGAGGGACTTCTTGCTCATAAAACAACATATTCCCACTCTTATGAAAATCACCCTAGGAAATATTGATTGTTGTATTACCGTAACCAACTGAATGTTTAAATCTTCAGTGTTCTTTGAAAGAGCAAAAAGATGATCAAGGTAGAACAAAGCTGACAAGGAATCTGACTTTTAATAAAAGTTCAGAGGGGTAGCCGTGGTAGTCTGAATCTGCAAAAGCGACGAGGAGTCCTGTGGCACCTTATAGACTAACTGAAGTGTAGGAGCATAAGCTTTCGTGGGCAAAGACCCACTTCATCAGATGCATGTCATGCATCTGACGAAGTGGGTCTTTGCCCACGAAAGCTTATGCTCCTACACTTCAGTTAGTCTATAAGGTGCCACAGGACTCCTCGTCGCTTTAATAAAAGTTGTAGCTGTTACTTTCATTGTCCCTTACTACTATCCACTTTACTTCCATATTTGTCTCCTGACATTAATTTATTTCATTTTCTTAAGAACAATTGGGGTTTTTTAAAAATATTTTGTTATTTTTTAGTATAACAGGGATTCCGAGAGAGAGAGAGAGAGACACACACACACACACTCGACCACAGAACGGGTTCTTTTGTGTGTGTGTGTGTGTGTGTGTGCCTTTTATTCTGATCTTGATACAACTTAACTGGTGAAAAACAGGAAACACCTTTATAGATTGCACTTATGGTTTTCAGAACAATGAGCTGGAGCTGCTGATTAGTCTGACTGGGTGAAATGCAGTTGCTGCTCACAAAACATGTCTCTTATCAGAGCAATGTTCATTTTTTTCTGTGAAGCATATGACATGCAGTTAAATGAATATTTTTACTGCATGGAGGGTTACTGAAGTCAATGGAGTAAACATTCTGGTACTACACACCACTTTTGTGTACTGATTTCTTCAAAGATGCTGGCATAAGCTACAAACTACAGATCACAGCATGAGCTAAGGCTGGATTACTTGTTTCTGGGACTGAAGGAGTAGAAATGTAGTCGTTGTTGTTTTGTACATCAAAAGCTTTTTAAAAGTTAAATTGTTTGGAAGGAAAAAGATATGCACCCACTGTGTAAACATCTTTACTATACAGCCCAGAACTGTGCTGCTAGTATGGAGAATCACTGTGGTAACTGATTAGAGACTGTATCTAATAAAAATGTTAAAGAAGCTATTGCATTGGTTCCTGTCACATTAAAGGGACAAGATCTTCTAAGTCCTTCAGTGCCAAACTTCTGAATAGCTCTTTCCTTGCAGTTTCTGATTGGCTGGAGCTTTTTTGAGAGCTGGGTCAGTTAGGTACATTGCAAGATGGATGCAGGCACTAGTCATGTTGTGCCAAAGCCTCTAGATCCTGCCTGTGCCCATGTCTCTGCACTTTTGTGTTCTGCCTTATTGTTCAGAGTATCAGGCTTTTGTTCAAGAGCTGGCAAAAATTCCTTTTTTTAGTTTTCCAAAATGAGACAAGACCAGTGGGAAAGTGTCTTAACAAAATAGAATAGAACAACAAGGGAAAGAACCAACTAAGGGTGAGGGGCTTGGAATAAATGGAGAAAGAAAATCAGAAGCAAACTGCTCTAGGTTTAACATGTTGCTTTTGGTAGTAT